GAAAGAAAAAAAAAGTCAGAAAAGAACTTACGTCAGAATCCAAGTGTGTGGATCTCAAAAACATCCCTTTGATGGGCTATGAGAAACTTATTTCTTCAAATAGAGCCCATTTAAATCTGATCTGAGAAGCCCAGCGGTGAGACGTGGACCTGTTTGTATTCCGTTCATGCGCAGGCTCTTAGCCAGCCTGCCCATAAATTCCATCTTAAGAGCCGCCTCGCGTTTCTTGGGGAGACAATGCTGAGACCACCCCTCTTCAGAGGGCCTTTGTACAGGCTGAAAGGCCCTGGGCCTTCTCATCTAAGCTCCCTCCCCACAGCACACGTGAACCGCGCCACAGGACTGTCAGGCTATTAGACGGTTTTTTATTCCTGCCTCATAAAAATATTTCAAAACCTGGGGGAGCTTTATGAAACCAGCTCTCATCAATCCATAGCCTCTCCAATTTAGGGGCCCATGAGACAGATTGCAAGGCAATTACAGGCGTTCGTTTTTTGAAGCAAACAATCCTGTGGCGGATGCTTCATTATCCATGAGTGATAGATGGTTTTAAACCCAACCTCCTGGGATGGAAAGAAGGCTCAGCCGTTAAGAACACTGGCTGCTCCTCCAGAGGACCCTGGCATGGTTTCCAGCACCCCTGTAAGGTGACTCTCAGCCACATGTAACTATCTCCAGGGTGGTCCAATGTCATCTTCTGGCCATGGCTGGCACTGGGCACACACACACACACATGCACACACACCAACAAATCTTTAAAGAATAAGATAAAACTTGTTCTCCCTTTGAAATCTCCGTGGATTTGTGTGACTGTGTGTATATGTGGCTATGAGTACAATAAATATAAAATCTTTTTTTTTAAAGACAGGGTTTCACATTATAGCCTAGGCTGGCCCCAAATTCATGGCAATGTTCCTGCCTCAGCTTTCTGTGAACCACCTACTCCTGGTTTGTATTAATAAATTTAAGACTAAAATATCCATGTTTCAAATATAAAAGTTTATTTTATCATCTCCCCAGGTCCTGGAAATGTCAGAAAAGCTCCCACTCCACCCATGCCCACCCTGCCTCTGTTTCTCTTTCTAGGAGCAAGGCATGGTGGCCTCTGAGCTCACAGACAAATGCCTTACACCGAGGACAGGGACGGTCACCTTCAAAATCCTTCTCAGGCCACTGGATTTCTTTTTCTAAAAATGTCAGTATCCCCTTCTTTGCCTCCAAGCAACAGTTAAGCATCTTCACTGGTTCCCTTTGGTCTTTCCTCACATCACATCTCTGATACGATACATCCTTGGAGCCTAGGGCTTGATGCTCTGTGGCTGCAGACCCCACCCCCTATCCTCAGCACTGTCCGTCCTTCAGCGGACACACTCACCTAAGGTTCTGAGGACACAGAGCGAGGGGCTGGATGCCGAGCAGACTGGCGATGACCCTCTCCCCATGTGCTAGCATCTTCCATTCTTCCTGTCTTCTTACCCTATCAGCATCTGGAGGGGAGACCAGCTCAGCTAGGAGACCCCTTTCAACTCTAGAATAAATGCCCTTTCTCGAACCTAGCAGAGTCTGGGGACTCTTGGCTCTCTGCACACGAAGGAGCAATTCATGTTGGTGGTCAAGCAGGTTTCCTGTCCTGTTCTCTTGAGATACTGGTGTACATGTGTGTGAGTGTGGAGGGGGGGCTGGTAGATGAACATGTGTGCATGTGTGAATGTTCTGTGCACACACACATCTGACACCATTGAAATCACATACCAAGCTACATACATGTGGAGGGAAGGGCCCTCCAGGAGGAGCCCAGGAGACCTGCACCTTTCGCTATCTGTAGGAACCGGAAGCTGGGCTTTTCCTAGGACTGAGCTGCATCTGGGATGAGGTTTAAAGATGTGCAAGCCCACACCTGAAGTGAGGATGCTTAGACGCTGCCCGCAGGGCTGATTAAGGACAATGTGGTGCTGATAACAGATATCCAGAGTGAGTCCACTAAGGGTGGCTGGCATGGAATGTCTGGACACCCAGAGCAGACATTGATGTAACCCGATAGATAACCATTTCTGACAGAATGCCACATTGTGTAGTCATGTGTCACGTCACCCATTGGCTTGGAAGCTTGGAAGTAGTATAGCATTCTGGATCACTTTGCTAACATTCTTCTTTAGAGCTGAGATTATATATATTTCTCTAAATTGTTCTGTCCATTCATCTGTTGACAGATAACTAGATTGACCCCAGTTCCTTGCTCTAGCTAGCGTTCAAAGTAGCAATAAACATGGGGGCAGGTATCTCCACGGGAGGGTACGGACTTTCCTCGGCTATGTACACAGGAATAAAACAGTGGGGTCGTCTGGAGGATCACCTTGCTCTTATGGACTTGAAGGAAACGTCCACCCTGCGTTCTGCCCCTGTAGCCACCTGTCATTCATTCTGTCTTTCCATCACCCTGGAAGCCCTTGTCTCTGCTTCAAGGAAAAACCCACCCTTAGTGCCGACGCCACAGCTGACAGTGACCCGAGAGAATCGCCTGTCAGGCTTGCTGGTGCAGGCAGTGGAGCATGGGTCAAAAACATTCCCACCTAGCAGGGTCGCCTCTGATGGAGTTTCTGCCCCCTTTGCCTGCTTGTTCTGCTCTGTGGAACAGAGGAACAAGACATTTTCACATGCCATAATTTGTCCTTTTTTCCCCCAAGAAAAGGCTGGTATAATACCCACTGCCCATGCTGACTTTCTCAAGTGTGTGATCTTAGCACATTCCTCCATCCTTCCCTATAGTTAGGAAGCATCCAGTAATAGCCAGCATCTGCTGTGTGTTTCATATAAGCTACTGAATGATGTCTTATACACAGTTCTTCAGATGGGATTTTAGCAACCCCACAGGGGAGTCCCCCTGGACATGTTCACCCAGGCTTACTCACTGGGAGTAATCGGAAGGGTCAGGGTTTTTCACAGTTCAGAGTCCAGGTTTCCAGCCGCTGTCGGCACCACTGAAGGTCAGCCATCTTTGTGCTTACGTAAACGTACACTAGACCATCTCTCCTAGTGGCATTTCTGCTGCTATGATAAAATGCACCCACCAAAAGCAGCTTAGGGAATGAAGGGTTTATTTGAGCCATGATTGTGGGGAGAGCAAGGCAGGGATTGAAAGCGTCAAGAGCAGAGAGAAAAAGCATGGGGATCTTTGCTTGCTTGTTCCCACCCAGCTAGCTTTCTTCGCTCTTATGCAGGTCAGGGTTTCCAGCCTAGGGGATGGTGCTGCCCAAGGTGGGTGAGGTCTTCCTATACCGATTAACCATCAAGGCAGTTACCTACAGACACGCCCATAGGTCAGTCTGATCTAGATAATTCGTTAGTAAGACTCTTCCCAGGTGATTCTAGGTTCTGTCAAGTCAACAGTTGAAACTAATTAGCAACTAACTAACCCCACCCCTCAGGTCTGAATGGTAAGGTGTGTGTGTGTGTGTGTGTGTGTGTGTGTGTGTGTGTGTGTGTGTGTGTGTTGGGGGTCAGTTGCTCAGACTCACCACATTAGTACTTATCCATGCTTATTCAATGATTTTCTTTATTTCTTTTCTTTTTTGTTTTTGTTTTATTTTCAAGATAGGATTTTTTTTTTTCTGTGTAGCTTTGACTTCCTAGAACTTGCTCTGTAGACCAGGATGGACTTGAACTCAGAAATCTGCCTGCCTCTGTCTCATGAGTGCTGGGACTCAGGCACACCACACTACCACCCAGCCTTATTAAATGATCTTCATGGCAGGATCAAGGCGCTAAGAATCAGATGCCATTGATGAGCCTGGCCAGGGGTGAGGAAGATGTTAATCAAGTGGCCATATATGTGGATGTTTGTCCACACATCACTAATGATGGACTCTTGTGGGGTACACGGCCTTGGAGGTCATGGTCAGGCATGGCCTTTTGGTGCACTCTAGAAACAACACATAAACAAGGCACATGAGCAGCCAGCACTGGAGGATTCCAATGAGGCTGAAGAAATCCCTGTTGCCTGGTGCTGCCTTAATTTTTCCTGAGGAGATGCAGTTGTCACTACAGATAGGGCACCAACCACAGATGGAAGGAACAAGTCTGCCCAAATCTGGTTTGATGAACCAAAGAATTTATCTGGGCTACGCATAATGCCTGGGAGAGGGATCACCTACAGGGGCATGGATGACCCCCAAACAACCACATCACAGAAGATCCCCACACTGGCCCTGGTGATGCTTTCTCTACAACTGTTCCAGTCAATCCTTCTGATTTCCGTGTTCTGTAGCATCCCAAGCTCACACAGCATCTCCTGAGATCCCATGCAACTGGGCTGGAATTCCTCCCACATAGCCAGGAGAATGGTGTAGGAAGGTGTGGCTGACCCTTAGGTGAAAGTCCAATGACCCTCCTCGCTCTCTCTAACAGGTTCCCCCTTCTTGGGGGTCTCCAGAACTCTTGCAGGGAATCTCAATTGCTCTAAGATGTCAGTGGCTCTTGGGAATGTAGCTCAGTTCATAGAGTGTTGGTCTCGTGTGCATAGGGCACAGCTTCCTCATGTGCACAGGGCACAGCTTCCTCGTGTGCATAGGGCACAGCTTCCTTGTGTGCATAGGGCACAGCTTCTTCGTGTGCACAGGGCACAGCTTTCAACCTCACTGCTCTATCACATCAAGTGTGCACACCTGCAGTTTCAGCTCTCAGAAAGCAGAAATAGAATTGTTAAGTTCAGTCACACAGCTACTCTGAGCTTCATGAGACCCTGTCTCAAAAAACCAAAACCAAACAAACAAGAAAGCCGACTGTGACAGCTTTGCTTGGAGGACGTTATTCTACAGTGGGCACTGTAGCTGTTGTCAGGCCCCAGTGCTGCACCCCTGCTCATATAGGTGGCAGCACACACCATCTATTCAGTGCCTGATGCTCGAGAAAGCCCGATGGGTCACTCATTGATTGCATATGAAGGCCCCCATGGGATAGAGGCAAGTCGCCATGTTTCTCAGCAGTCTGCTGTCTTTCTGCAGGAACCATGGAGCACACAGCACATCCCAGCACTGTTCTCGGCCTTCTGTGGGCTGTTGGTTGCACTGTCCTACCATCTGAGCCGGCAGAGCAGTGATCCATCGGTGCTCCTGTGAGTAACTGTCCTGTAGACCCCCCCCCGTGTGTGTGTGTGTGTGTGTGTGTGTGTGCATGCGTGCATGCATGTGTGTGTGTGCACGCATGTGTGTGCATGTGTGCGTGTGCGTGCATGTGTGTGGCACGCGCGTGTGTGCGCATGCGTGTGTGCATGTGTGCATGCGTGTGCGTGCGTGTGTGTGTGTGTGTGTGTGTGTGTGTATGCATGCCCACATGTATGAGAGTATAGAGGCCAGAGAGCCACCTCAGGTATCATCCCTCTGTTGTGGTTTACCATTTTCTTTTGAGACAAGATTCTCTCACAGGCCTGGAGCTTGCCAGCTAGGCTAGGCTGGCCAGCAAACCCCAGCGACCCCCTGTCTCTGCCTCCCTAGTACTGGGATTATACATGGGTGGCACCATGTCCAGAATTTTTACGTGAGTTCTGAAGATTGAACTCAGGTATGACAAGCACTATCTCCCCAGGTCCCATGGTTCCTTCTTTCCCAGGCTGTGGGTGGACTTCCCAAGGCCCTGTTGGCTCACCAAAGTAGAGACGGACATTTGGTGCCCTCTGCCCTTTGATACTTGCATGAAGCATGCTGGTTGCATCCTGGATGGTGGCGTAGAAATGCAGGGCTGACCTGAAATGATTGAAACCCAAGGGTAAACTTCCAGCCTGACTCCCTCTTTGAACTCCGCATTGCAACGAAGTTCGTAGGTAGCTGGGTGGAGAAATCTGAGAGAACTGTAGAAAAAGCCGCAGGCACAGAGGAGCGCCAGTGTTGTCTTGCTATGGAGCTCGCCCTGTGGAGAGCACACCACATCCTGGAAAGGAGGCTTTTGTTTTGTTTTGTTCCATCCTGTACAATCAGCATCCTTGACCTTTAGAATGAGATTCATGTCAAGGCCTGAAATGCTATCTATATAAATCTCTGGTCACTTGAAGTATAGATCTATTTCCGGGGACTGGACATCCTCTGAACAATGTCATGGGGAGTATGAGATGTTGATAATAGCGTGTCCTGGAGATTGACCAGACTTACATCACTTTCTGACTTAACATAACAACTCATTTGGGAGTCAGTGATATCACAGCCTTAGGCTATTAGATGCATTAGATTGAAAGGCATAGAAAAACGGGGAAACGGGGGAAAGTTAAACATGGCTTGCATGATATTTCATGCCAAATATGTGCCTGGATGGTTGCCTTCTGCTGGTACCGTAGGTGAAGATGCAGGGCGGTAGGCTGGAGGAACTAGGAGATGCCCAGACGCTGGCGGTTAGAGTACTGATACTGTTAAAGTCGCCTGACCACTTTTGTCAGGATGAAATTTAAAAATTGAAACATGAGTCAATGAGATGGCTCAGCTGGGAAATGGACTTGGGCAGCCTGCGTTGATTCCCAGAGCCCGTTGAAAGGTAGGTGAGAACCAACTCTACTATGTGTTCTCTGACCCTCACACAGTGCCCACCACCAAGCACACACAATAGTAATAATCCTAATACTAATATTAATAATACTAATACTGCTACTAATAATAGTAAAGGAATGAACGAGTGAATGAATTTAAAATTAAATCATCCTTGTGATCCCAGGAGTGTGTCCTTTCTACTGTGATTTTGAAATGGACTCGGTTTTGCTCCTTGTCGATGCAAGACCCAAGGATTTGCATGGTCAGAGACACATATTTTAAAAATGAAACCCTGTGTGTTTTTCTGCTCTCAGGTCCTTCGTTCAGTGCAGATTTCTTCCTAAATGCTTACATCAGAACCTGGACGAGTCGGCCACAGACCCTCTCCCTCAGAGGATGAAGGACTCAGTGGTAAGACCTCAGCATGGCTGCTCAGCTTTGGTCTCCTAGGTAGGGACAATGTGGGAAAGGACACAGAGACACACAGGCAGGGACACTGGAATCAGGTGAGGGCTCTGTACAGCCACCATTGGAACCTGGAGCCTCGGCGGGTTTATTAGGTCCAGCGTGGGGTGGGGGAGGTCGTCTCACTAAGAGGTCTTTGCAGACCTCAGCCTGTAAACTTGAGGATCAAGGAAGCCGCAGTTGCTAGTATTTGTACACATGGATCAATCACTCATAAACTTCTGAGGGAAACTTTGCCATTCCTCTTGAGCCTGGCCCACATGGATAATGACTTTTATAATTTTCCATGGGTCAACTGACCCATGACATGGCCATTGACATGGTGTGCCCATGTGGAAATACACGTTCACTTAAGACTTCACTTACTCAGGGCTTCCTCCGCCCGCCCCCCCCCCCATAAGCCAGCCTGCAGTGGTCCTTGACAGCTTCTGCTTTGAGTTTCTGCTTTGACTTCCCTCTGATAGACAGTGATCCGGAAGTGTGAGCCAATTAAATGCCCAGACCTCCAGGTTAGAGTGTTTTATTACAGTGACTAAAAGGAAATTCGGGCAGCATCCAAAGTCATTATCAGTGCGAGGCGTCTAAGGACAAAGAAGGTGCCGCTAGACTACGGAGCTAAGCACCGAAAATGAAGGAAGACGTTGGCATCTCAAGCAGCACATACAGCCTTCCTGTGACTGTAGGACCAGGGGTCTTAAGACAGGGCTTATCCCCCACCCCTCCTAGATAGCTGAGAGAATCTATGTCCCTGAAGTCTTCCTTGGTGTTACGGCTAGTGGTGATGCATCTCTATTATCTCATTTATTACAGTAGAAGCAAGCTAGGAATCACAGAGCAACAAGATAAGTTTGCCCAATGGGCACTGATAGCATGTCACTAGTGCAGTTAGATGTAACGAGCTACCTATTGCTTTTTTTTTTTTGCTTTTCGTGATCTTTAAAGAAAATCATTTAGACACTTTTTGGGGAGAGGAGACAGGGTGCCTCTGCCACATTGTGCCTATCGAGGTCAGAGAACAACCTTGTGGCATTGGTTCTATCCTTCCACCCTCTAGGGGTTAAACTTAGGTCATTGTGTTTGCCTGGAGGGCACCTTTACCCACGGAGCTATCTCACTGGCCCCCAGTTTCATGGTCTTGTCTAAGCTTTGTCCGTTGGAAACCATGATCTGTCAGATGGTGTAATAATATGTTTGGGCTCAGCTCTCTGAGGAATCCCTGTCTAATCATAATGGTTTCATGGGGTTATCAGATCCGCCTTCCCAGGCTGGCTTATCCCACCTCTGCTGCTAGTTAAAAACCCTGCCTTCTGTCTTTGTGCTTCGCTAGGTCTCTCTGCTCCTTTTTTTCTTTGTCTGTGTGCCTTTGGTTTGTACGAAAGCTCCAAGGAACTTCATTAGATAGTAGGTTTTGTAGAGTCCCCCACTTGAATCCCTATTTTGACTCATTTGGCCAACACTGGGTTCTGGGCATACACATTTTAACCAAACCAACCACCACATTATTCTGTCAGGGTTTTCAAGGACTGTATAGGAGAAACACCGAGGGAGAAAGGATGTCTGTGGACTTGCGAGTTTCTGCAGGAGCAGGACAGGACGGGTCATGCACACAGACCTCACCCCAAAACTGTACCCAACAAGTAATGAAGATTTGAACTGTGTCCTCATGGCTTGCAACATTCTTTCTTCCGTGTGCCTCATGAGCATAGCGTTTCTGATTTTTGCTCCACCCTCCTCCCATGCTCACCATTCTCAAGACTCCTGGTCAAGTTTAGAGTTGAAACTTTCATTATATTCAGTTAGTGTGGATTAATACATTATTTTTTAAAAGTTCTTATTATTGCGTATAAAATTCAGGCAGCTTCTTCCAAGCCATTCATTGTAGCATCGAGACTTGTCTGGTTTCCTCCCTAACTCAGTCTTTAGGTTGTACAGTGTTAGGACAGCTTCTTACCCTTCCCTTGGGGAGAAAGTATGGTGTCTTACCAGAAATGCCACAGTAGGGCTGAGGACGTGACTCAGCTAGCAAGGTGCAAACATGAGAACTTAAATTTGATACCTAGAGCCCACATATAGAAGCTGGGTGTGATGCTGTGCATTTGTAACCCCCCAACACACACACGCACATATACACATACACATACGCACACACACACACACACACACACACACACCACCGGCCACAATTAATTTTAAATGCTTCATATACCGAGAGCAAATGTTATCTCTTGGCTGAGCATACATGAAGTTACCATTAAAATGGGGGAAATTGTCGCCACCGAATATCCTGGCGTAAAGCCTGAAGTGAGGGAAAATGTGAGTAAGGTGCCTTTTATAAAGACCTTGCACAGAAAACGTGTTACAGCCAGTTATGATGGCTAGCAGGACCCACAAATGCCGGCATGGAAAAGACAATGTAAGAAGCAAGAGCACATCCACAAACCCAAATCACCGTCAGCAGCCCAGCCAGAGCTCCCCCAGCTCTCAGGGGTGGGATACATGGGAAGAGATAATGGGGCTGTGTGCACCCAGAGGTGATCCAGAAAGTGGAAGGGGCAGCCTGTTAACGTGTAAGCAAAGCTCCCCTTACAGTGATGGGTAGACCTCCCCTGGCTATCCACTGCCAGGCCTTTTAAAATATATTTTTTTAAATGCTTAATACAGTTCAGAGCATTCCCAATGGAATCAAATTCACGACACTGGCAACAGAGTGTAAGGTTTATTTAGAAAAATAACAGCTCGTAGTTTAAGAAAGACTTGAAAGAGAGGGATGAGAAAGGCGAATTTAGTGCTTTGGGATTTAAGAGTCTATAAAAAGGTTGAAGCATGAGGAGAGAGAGAGAGAGAGAGAGAGAGAGAGAGAGAGAGAGAGAGA